GGGGTGCAAGAACTACTACAGTAGGTTGAGACCAAGAGAACTACTTTTAGGTTGAAGGTTTGTGCCAGGATTGAGCCTAACATTTAGGCAACTGTATCATGTAACCGCAGTCCATCCCAAAGTGGGTGCTCTAAAAATCACGTTGTGAAATTATGATCAGAACAACAACAAGCCAGGCTGACTCCACAGCTGCAAACAGTGTTCCAAAGCAAGTAAGGGACTTGGGCACGACGCAGTGCCAAGGAACACCATTAGCTGCAACCTAAAAAATGTTGTTTATGCCTTGAAATGTCTGGCTACTTTAAAAGCAAGTACACAACAGCAATATGATTCCAGTTGCTTTTGACTCCCAAATAGCATTGTGGAGAGGGGAAGATGCTCGTTTGTGCTGCACAAAGATATGACAAATGAGAGGAAAAACTTGCCACACAGAGCTGCCACTGCAATGCTGACAGACTGCTGCCTAATATAGACGAGGTCAAACAAAAGCACAAGGCCTGTCATACTTGGCCATTGGAACTATTTCAAATAGCAGACGCCTTAGCAAAATGAAGCAACAATATTTTTGCACCGACACCCGAGGGAGCATCGGGTCGCACGACTCGACTTGAAGGCCAGAAGTGGACAGCACTGTCGGCATATTAGTTTACTGGCAGCTATTTGACATACCTGTCAGAAGCAAATGTTTGGGTAGTTTATGACGGGAATACTTCTTCAGGGTCACTGGTGTTGTAATGTACAGTATTTCTGCAGTTGGGAGAAGTCTCGTTTTTCAATGTTTTCATTCTATTTTATAACAAATCCATCCAAAATTCGAACCACTTTATATTCACGAGGGTCACGGGCATGATGGAGTCATCCCAGCTGTCTTCGGCCAACAGGCGGGGTATACCCTGAACTGGTTGCCAGCCAATCGCAGGGCCACACTTAGACGAACAACCATCCGCGCTCACACTCACACCTAGGGACAATTTCGAGCGTTCAATCAACCTACCATTTTCAGAATGTGGGGGGAAACAGAGTCGGCGGAGAAAACTCCACACAGGAAGGCCGAGTCCCGATTTGAACCTACGACCTCTGCACTGTGAGGCGGACGTGCTAACCAGTCGACCCCCGTGCCAGCCTTTCATAACAACTCAAAAATAGAACATCATCAAAACATTTCAAAAATGGAATCAAGCTCCTCTAAAATGGCTTAACTTTGGAAAAACATTGGAGGGCCCAGTTATTCCATTTTCATCAACTGTAAAAATTGCCTCCCAGGTGCAATGTCAAAATCTTCACGTATTTATGTTAAGTCTTGAGAATTGTTGTACTGTGTTTTTAAACGTACGCTACATTTGCTGAGGTTTTTATCTCTGGCTCAAACCATCCTCCCATTGAGGAGAATGGCTGGAGTCCGTTTTTTTTCCCTCTTCTTCCAGACTGTTTCCTTTCACATCTAAGATATCGAGGCGCTTAACAGTGACCCATCAAGCTTCTTGTTCTGCCCGCCCCCCTCCCGCCCCCCGCCTCCCCTTCCTGCTGGTTATTGCTGTCTTGTCTTTGTTCCTCTGAACGGGTTGAAACTGGGAAGTAAATTCCTTCTGTGTTTCTTGCATACTTGGCCAATAAATCAGATTTTGATTCTGATGTCTCTTTGGCTCATGAACATCTTCCCTCTCTGTGGAATCTCCACTAGCAAAAACGTGTCTTCATATCCCAAACTGGCAAAGTCTACCATCTGAGTTCTAATATGGCTTGCAGCATTTCTTTCTGAAAAAAAAAACAACTTTAAAAAGCACCTATATAAGTGAAGAGTGATCCAACATAAAAGTTAAGTCTCAACCAGTGGTGGCCAACCCGCGGCTCGCGAGCCGCAGCGGCGCTAAGAGCTAAGCTAGTCGGCGAATTACCTCTGATTTTAAGGCAGGGGTGCCCAATACGTCGATGAGAATCGACCGGGAGCCAGCGAACTGGTCCCAAGTCAACCGCAAGGGGTGGGAGGAGGAAATGGGTGGGGAAAAAAAAGATTCTTTTGTTTGTATCTTTAGCTTTCATTCATTTTCGGCCCATTCCGACTGTTGCTCATCATGGTGTGTGTGCATATGTGCGCGAGTGCACTGGTGGGCACCCGCGTGAGTGCGTGCGTCCGTGCGTGTGTGTGTGTGTGTGTGGGGGGGGGTAATGATGTGAGGAAGGGTATGATGTGGCTCTTTGCAGTAACACAGTAAAAAAATTGTCTCTTCGTCTCTGACTGGTTGGCCACCCCTGGACTAAATACCAGCTGGAATCCGCTATAGCAGGGAAGGGAAAAAAAAACAAAAAAAACTCTTGTTGTGACGAATGGCGGATGATGGTTTACCGTTCAGGTGTTTTGTTTTGTTATTTTGGCCATCTTTCGATGGGAATTTTCATGCACATGAAAAAAAAAGAAAAACCATAGTGGGTGGTTATTATATATATTTTTTTAGTTGGAGTGGACCTTTTATATACAGTACACATTTGACAATTAATATCTAACAGAATACTCTTCTGTACATTGATTCAATTTAAAAACATGCATATACGCATATTTTGTCCTTATTGAAATAGCATTTTTATCATATGTGTGTTTAGGAAGTTGGCGGTCCTCTTTGGTAGCCCAATTGTGGAACCTTCCAACATTTAAGTTGCTCATGCCAGCTCTTTTAAGTGTGTACTGCTCTCGTATCATGCTGTTAATCTCTAAAAAAGTAACCATAACCACAAGCCATTAACATTTATGTCCATATGTATAATAAGCATGACCCTTAATACGTTTTGCTTAAAGTGCTTAACCTTAATTGCAACGTGGAAGTTGCTATTAATGTAGCAGATGACCAGTTTAAATCATTACCGGTACATAAATATATGTAAATATGATCCCTGTGAGTTATGACTGTAATCAACGTTCCAGTATTTTAATATACTTTCACCTTGAAATTCTGTTGGTTTTTTTTGTTTTGTTTTTTTTTTAAATCCAATTTACTAGCCAAAAATCAAGCAAGAGGACCACTTTAGCTCATAGCTTTTCTTGCTGTCATCAATTGAATTTTCCTTGCTGTGGCATTTTGGGGGATTTACTGGAACTGTGATGTCAAAGATTAGGCGATTTATCAATGCCATTAAATTGTATGTAAAAAATATATATAATAATACAGACACTATTTTATTCATTTGGCTCATCCAATTCAATTAATCTACATGCTGGTAAAGACTCATTTGTCTATTCTACAGTATAATTATAAAATCTGCTTGTTACTAAGTTTGTTTATTGTCTTGATAGCGGCACTTCAACATGCCGATATTCACATTACCTGTTAATAAGGGTTCCAAAGAGCAGCCTGATGGTCCTTTGAATGTTCTCAGTGCACAGCCAGCTCCACTGCTCTCTCATGAGCAGACACATGATGTTCAAAGCAACATCCGCCAGTGCCATCTCAGCTGCACCTGTGCCCGCTGCATAGATATCATATTGTCACCTTCCGAAAATAATGGCCCTTTTTCCCCCAGAAAACACAAACAACTGAACAAAATACAGATCACATCATATTTATTTAGGATTTCACACAACTGACTACCGGTACTCTGTTTAACGAAGGAGGGAGACGATTTTAGCATAGGTGGCCAGCACCATGAGATGTTGAAGGCAATAAAATATTTCGCATTAAAATATGACTCAGGCCATTATTTTAAGGTGGTGATGATGATGTATAGCATTATTAGTATTATTGCGGTCAAATATAAAAATACTGCTCCAGATATTGAGCATGCCATTAAAACTTAGTATGTACTGTTCAGTGGAGCCATGGTTTCTCCACTTCATCTATTTGCTAATACTGCCCTCATGTGCACAAATTCCAAGACTGCATCTCTTTAAGGTTTATCTACTGAATGTGTGGCACAACTGAGGGATCTGTTGTAATCTGCTCTGGAATAATCTATATCAGGGGTGGCCAAGTCCAGTCCTCGTGAGCCCCCATCCAGCCAGTCCACATTTATTCTCCTAGCTAATTTGGGCTTCATTTGTCAATATAGACCGGGGTTACCAAAGTCCGGTCCACAAGATTCCCTTTCCAACCTTTTTTAGAGGTCTCCCTCTTCCAACAACCTCATTAAAATGATCAGCATCATTATCAGGATTCTCAGAGCTTACTGATCATTTGAATCTGGTGTGTTGGAAGGGGGAGACCTCTAAAAAAGGTTGGAAAGGGAATCTTGTGGACCGGACTTTGGTAACCCCGGTCTATATTGACAAATGAAGCCCAAATTAGCTAGGAGAATAAATGTGGACTGGCATGTGCCTATTAGAGTCCTATTGTGGTCCATTTTATGCATGGTTAACTTGTCTGAAGTCTTTCTGATAACAACAAACACGCCTTACCATGTCCTAGTATTTGCTTTCTGACGGCAGAGTCATGCTGGCAATTTCCGTCTTGTGTAACAATCGTCTCGTTCCCGCACTTTGGCAGTGATGTGAGGGACAGATTCTCTTCTTTATCGATAAAATTTTGCAGGTCCTCCAAAGACATTCCATTAAACACCTGTGAGTGTACAGCAAAGAAAGACAAAAACGTTACCAAAGACCAAACAGGTTTTATGGTGTACCAAAACAATGAAACGCCATTGTGGACCAGTCAGAATGAATCAATAACTTACTGTATGAGTTTGGTCCGAGCTAAACAAGACAGTTGGTCTGACATCTGAGCCATTCATAAATGGGATGCTTTTGCTGGAGAATTTCAGGCGTGACCTGAGAGAAGGGGGAAAGAAAATCTTTTGTCTTCATGTTTAAAATGTCACAAAACAGCTAATAGTAAATTAATCCAACGTAAATATAATTTTGACAGTGTCATGAAAATAAAAAGTGAAGTCCAGTTCACATCTTCGAATGAACATTGGACGACTTTAACCTTTTCATGCAGAAATTATAACAACCTATTTCGGGATTTTTTTTCTCAAGTGTTTTAATTAGTCTTTGGGCATGGAAAAAATAATAATGGCAAGCGGATGGCAACACACATAAGCGTCCATTGTAGTGGTCGATTCACAACCGTGACATTAAGGTTCATGAATATAAAAAGAAAACAACATGTGAATAGCTGTCCACTCTAGTAACCGCTGTCCCCGAAAAGGTTAAATATGTAGTGCATGTGGCGGTATGTGCAGACTTGATATAATGTGAGTAGATAACACCAATCCTCAGACATAAAAATAGACGCTCAAACAAGAGCAGACTGACAAATCTCTGTCTTCTCATTATAGATCAGACTGACAAATCTCTGTCTTCTCATTACTTTTTCTGTTCATGGCTTTGTCTCTAACTGATGGAGAGGAATAACTCACTTGTGGCCAGGAAGCCACATCTTTAGGATCAAATCCCTTCAAAAATGGGGGTTACTATCATTTGCCATGAAAACGTTTACCATATTTTCTCAGTGCAAAATAACATTTGGGTTATTGCTTGACTCTCACCATACAGACAGTCAAATAAATGACCTGTTGAATTACCCCTTGAGAGATTATAAATAATACATTACATCGAAAAATCAGACGAATTCAAAAATATGTTCTTCAATCCTCAGCAGTGCAAGGAGGCGGCAAATCTTATGGTACACTTCTCTCAAAAGTGACATTTGTTACGTTGTAGGTCTTAGCGTTCACATCGCAATCACATACCTGCTCTTTTTGTCGGTATCAATTTTGCCACCGTCCATCTCGCCCTCATTTTCATCAGTTGGGCTCTGAGGCTCTGAACGAGGAAAGGCTGTCTTCAGAGTGTCCACTATTGCATTCACCACAATCTGCGTAAGTATACAATCTTAAAAATTAACAAACGTTGTAGCGTGTGCATTCATCCAGCTCTTGATATTGCATTTATGACAATTCACTCGAGTGACAATTACCGTATTGGCCCGAATATAAGACGGCCCTGATTATAAGACGACCCCCTCTTTTTCAAGACTCAAGTTTGAAAAAAGACTTTTTGAACACCAAATTAATTTTTATACAGAAAATAATTACAGTACATCTGAAACAAATGATTATAACAATATATTTGAGACAAAAAGCATGTTATTTTGCCTCATTCAAATCTTAATATCTGAACATTTAAATATGTAAACTAAAGTGTAAATTACATCATAACTTCTCCTCAGCTGCCGGTTGACCTGGCTGATCTTCGACCCACTTTTCTCCAGATTGTCACTATGTTTCTCTATTTTCTGTTATCTCTTCTATTATTTTTTTCTCTTTTCTCTCTTACCGCTACTTTTTATTTTTCTTCTTCATGCTACCGCTATTTTTATTTTTATTCTTCGTGACAGGGGTCACGTGGCCTGTGGAGTCGAGTTCAGCATTCGCTTCAATGATATCTGGCGCCATCTAGCGTCGTGAATGGGTATAATGTCTAGACCCCGAATATAAGATGACCCCACTTTTTCAGTCTTATTTCAATGCAAAAATCACCATCTTATATTCGGGCCAATACGGTATTTTAATGGCAAAAAGGCAAAATAAGGCACTTTAATAGCATTTGTCTCATCATGCGGCCATAACAACTACTGTTCAGTCTTGTGCATCTATGTCTAGCCAGACTACAGAACATGATATAATAATAAAAATAATAATAATAATAATAATAATAATAATAATAATAATAATAATAATAATAATATCAAAAAAAGTTAAATGAGTGCAGAGTCTGTATTATTCATAGTGTGAATATCAACTCTTCAGGTATGGCCACTGCAATGAAATGACCACCAACAAACCTTGTCAATGCGTGAAACAATAAAAGGTTTCTTGACAAAGGCAATCCGGGCATCTGTATTAAGAGCCAGAAACTCCTGCATCTGTTCACTGTTGGCTATTTCAGGAATCGCACAAAGATGCTGGGGGAAATTTGAAAACAGGTGTTAATGATGAAATACCAGTCGTCATTACATTGTGCCCCAAAATACTTTTGGATTTTAATCAAATCAAACTGTATTACAGACCTTTAGAAATGTCTCCAGCATTCCTTTCCTGGCCTCGATCTTGTCACTGTCCATGTTTCCAAAGGGCATGTCTGGGAATATTTTCTTTGGGCCTTTTACACCTTCAAAAGGTAATAGGACAATTTGGAAGTGATTTATACATGCCGACACCATTATCATATTTGCATGGTATTTGGAAAGCCGCTGTGCATGTGCACAAACATTTTTAACAACAGCCATTTTCTTCAAAATAGAAGACGCTTCCTAACCAACCTTTGATGAGTTTCTTTAATTCTGTTCTTTCTTCCACGCGCGCTTGTAGGTTAAGAAATTCGCTGTATCGTCTGTTGACCATGTGGTAGGCCACTGGGTGAACGGAAGATGGACTTTCAAAACCTGGGTGTGGCGTGTCCCCGTCCTCCGAGCATGGATGGCCGCGCCCTGGGTTCTCACAACCCATTGCCGTCTCATACTGAAAGACAAACAGAGCTCAGCATCAACTTGTTTCACACTGTTTGGTCAATGTTCCTCCACATAAGTCACCACAAAAACAGACGATGAGAAGGCAATTTGTATACTGTACATTCTGCCCAACTTGTTCAAGCAGCTTATGATCACAAACAAGATGAGGCAGCCCCTTTTGTGATACTGTGGTGTGCAGCTCATAGTATTGAGGTTTTAAGATGCTTGCTATCCATCTTGTTTATTGCAATTCAGCTACCATTACTTTGTATATATTTTGATAGTCTTTTCAGAAAGCTTCTCACAAGAAAAAAGAAAAAAATTCTATCTATATAGATATTTGTTTCTTTTTTTCGGATGTCTTTTCAATTTTTTTATCTGTAAAAAAAGTTTAAGATAGCTAATAAATTCAGTTCCACTTCACAATGGTGTTCCACCTGGTGTTGATTCTTCACGAAAAAACCCCAATTTGATATCATTATTTGAACCTAAATGTAGCAAAAGGTCAAAAGTTCAAGTGGGGGTGCTAATACTTTTGCAAGGCACCATACATACATTCAGTGTGTGTGTGTGTGTGTGTGTGTGTGTGTGTGTGTGTGTGTGTGTGTGTGTGTGT